AGACACATGGAATGGAGATTGAACAGGAACTTGAATATCCAACGAAATTGCTAAGTTACTTCAAGCCAACAGCTCAGGGACAGGAATTTATTAATTTATTTTTATTAAAATAATTTTTGTTGCATTTATCCATAAATTTAAAGTTTACTTTGTGCATTTTGTTGTCATTAAATAAGATTGCACTTTAAACCTGGCAAAATCCTAGCCAATATCAAGCAAATATTAGTATCAAAAGCATGTGAAAAAGAAAAAAACAGCAATTCTGGAACGGCGGCGGTCACTCTCTAAATCCAGCATGATGCCAGCCTGGCGCCACGGAACATAGACGGGCAACGAACGGACTTGCAGAGAAAAAAAAGTCACGCCCGTCGGAGCTTTTTAGACTAAAGGGGCCGAGCCCGACTTGATATTGCAGCAGTCAACCTTTAATCCGCCACCAAACGGTGCCCCGGTACCCACGTCGCCAACCGGGTGACAGCCCACAGCCAATGGGCCGCGTGAACGTTGACTGGCACACGAAAAGGCGCGACGGAGACCAGTCAATGACTTGTTTTCCCTGGCCTAAGGCCGGGGAGGAGCACGCCGGGCGCCGGCCAACCTTTAAGYCGGCACCGATTGAGGCCCGGCGCCAGTGTCGCCGAGGGGCTGCGTGGGTATTTCGGATGGCGCGGGGGCACGACGGGCGCGGGCGGTTGAGACAGAGGTCGTTCGAGGACTGACACCGAGAGGCCGCGCAAAAGSCCCCCTTCAACCTCCGGCGGCCCACCGGGCGGACGGGGGCGACACGCAGCCCGGGGGCCGAGCGGGCGCGGCCGACCGGCACGGGCAGCGCCCGCGTCCGTCGAGGGGCGGGTGCCCGCAGGCCTGAGGGAGCGGCGGGCCCCGGGGCGGGCGCGGGAGGCCACGTCGCGGCGCCCCGTCCTTCCCCGGAGCAGCGGCCGGCCGGCTGAAGCTCTTCAGCCCATGGGCTGCGCATCCGCAGCTTATTAGCTATTGGGAGAATGGATGGAGCCATGTACCATAAAATCCTGAGCAACAACCTCCTTCCCTCTGCCAGGATGTGTCGTAGTTGGGTCTTTCATCATGACAATGACCCAAAACATACAGCCAAGGCAACAAAGGAGTGGCTCAAAAAGAAGCACATTAAGGTCATAGAGTGGTCTGGCCAGTCTCAACACCTTAATCC